TCTATTGCCTACAATGCACTTGTGGGGTGCATGCGCACAGGTACACACGTTGGAGTTTGGCAGAACGTGGGAAGGGAGATCTCAGGCTCAGGATTGTCAGATTGAGCCCCAGATCTATCTCTAAAAAGTAGGGCCTGTGACACGTCAGCACCTCTCCGTGGTGCCCTGTCTTCTTCTCTAACATGTGAATAAACAGGGGTAAATACAGTGCCCGCAGCGCGTTGTACAGGTAAAGGAGGTAATACTACAAGTCCCTCAGCCTCAGCGTGGTGTTGGCCACATGGTGTCGGAGGGACTTTCTGAAGGGTGTTTGAAGAGCCCTGTCCTTCCTTGTCATTGAAAAAGTATGCAGCAGGTGTTCTCAATCACCAAAGGGTAGAAACAACCCATGTGTCCATCAACTGATGGATGGGTAAGTAATACATGGCATGATGGCCACTCAGCGGAACATTATCAGCCCTGAAAAGAAACGATGTACGGATATGTGTGGCCATGCGGATGAATCTGAAAACACTGAATGAAAGGTGTCAGATAGAAAGGACCACGTTATGATTGATTCCATAGAGAGGAAATCTCCGGAACAGGCAAGTCCATAGTGACAGACAGCGGACTGTGGCCACCAGGGACTGGTGATGGGGCAGGGGTCACAGGGATAGGTCCCTTCATAGATATGGGTTTCCTTTCGTGGTGATGAAAGTGTCTGAGAACTAAATTGGGGCAAGGTTGACAGCATTGTGAAGGCACTAAATGCCTCTGAATTTTTAAAGGGTTAATGTTTAATTTTATGTCACGTGATTTTTATTTCAGTTTTTTAAAAAGCAGCCGGGGGAGGTGAGGGCTGAAACCCACTCCCCCGGTACGAGCCACACCCTTGTACCATCACCGAGGTCATGGCATCGTCATTGTTATTCCTGTCATTGCTGCTGTTGACTGTCCAAGGGGGGGCTGGCAGGGGCTCCCTGCCCTCTGACCTGACAGACATTTCTCATTTGAGGCCGGGGTTCACGTGTGGGGCCTCGTGTGTGGGGCCAGGAGCACATCTTTCCTCATGCATATGAGGCCGGGCCTCGTGGAGCCAGTCTGTGCAGTGTGGGTCCCCCTGCGTGATGGCTCAGGTGACTTCCACTTGTGAAGAGAGGAGACGTGTCCATAGTAAGGCACACTCAGCAGGCTGCCGGGGTGGCAACCCTCCCGTGATACAGCCCACTGGTCTCAGCCAGGTCCCCAGCTGACCAGGGTTTCCCAGCCTCCCGCCCCAGAGCGAGTGCTTGGAGGGGGTTTCCAGACCAGCTTTTCCTTTTGGGGTCCAGAGTCTCTCCTCCCTGGGAAGCGTGCCAGCATCTTGTTTGCATGTGCCTTGAGTCAGCCTGCAGCCTCAGCTTGGGGGCCTCTGACGTCATGATTCATATTCACTTTTAGAGAAATCCCCATGGAAACCAGCAGGCGGGTTTGGACAGGAAGAGCTGGCTCCCCAGAAAGGCAGGGGAAGTGAAGACTGGGGGAGGGGACAGTTTCAGGGGCCTTTGGTGACCCCACTCCATGTCCATCTGACTCATGGGAAGTCCAAGAAGGTTGGAATGTCAACTCTGAAGGCTTTGTGCGGTTGTTGGGGGACCTGATGAAGCCCCTCTAGGTCCTGCTTTCTGTAGCCCAGACCCAGTGATTGAGGGGATCCCAGGGAAGAAGCTCATCTCAGAAACAAAAGCAGAGAGAGGGTATTCTCTTCCTGCTCTGACAGATATCAAGACCCCAAAAATGCCCCTCATCAGATCCTGAGAGCAAAAGGACAAAGGCACCCCGACCTGTTCCTGGCTCCTGTGGGAGAGCAGTGTCCCCGGAGCCAGGACCCTGACTTGCGGAGTTCTGCCACTCCAGCTCCCTGGCGCTGCGGTCACCTTGCAGGCACTCAGCTACCAGGTGGTCACACTGAACTCAGCCTGTCAAGTAGCGCTAGCAGGGCCCACTCAAGCTGGGGCCCAGGATGAAGCCCCCAGTCCTCGCCAGGGCTCCCAGTTCTCGTTAATATCTCTTTAATGAGAGCAATTTGGCAATGATCTGAAATATGCTCTTACCCTTTGTCCCATTAATTCCATTTCTGGGAATCTGGCCTTAAAAAAAAAAAATCCTAAATATAGGGAGAAAAACATGTTTCATAAGGATGTTCACTGTGGAGTTGTTTAGAGCAGCAGAAAATGAAACCACCGCACTTCCCATAGGGGAGGATGGGGAGTGGTGATAAATGGTGGCCGGATATTTTATAGTCATTAAGGTGACGTTCTGGAGATTATTCAGAACATGGAATGTGCAAAATTATATATCCTGCATGACTAGGACTCTGTAAAAAAATATTACATATGAAAAATAACCGGGAAGGTAATATACCCAAGTGCTAATGAGTGGTTTTATATGAAAGATTTCATTCTATTAATCATCTTACAAGTTATCTTGAATATTCACTCATTGCCTTTCTTAGTTGTGATTTACATTCAGGGAAATGTACCATTTTAGTGCGCAGATCTATGAGTTTTGACAAACATATACAGTTAAGTAACCACCACCACAATTGAGATCTAGAATATTCCAGTCACCCCAAACATCCCCTCATGCCCCTCTGTAAAGTCTCCTCCACTGTCTCAGCCACTGGCCACTGCAGGTTTGATTTCCATCCCTGCAGTTTTGCTAATTCTGAGATATCCTTTAACGGAACCCCAGTACCTCTTGCATTGTTTTTACATGTAGAAATAACTTTTAATCTTCTTATTTGCCTCAAAGTACCTCTTAGAACTGCATTTCCCAGCTTCCCCAAGAGAAATGATTTTTTTTTTTTTTTTGAGTCTAACTCAGCCTTCACTCCGCACAGGAATCCGGTCCACTGCGGCTCTGACCGCCGGGTTCAGATTACCAGGGGATTACCAGTTACCTGTAAAGTCCTCCCAAGAGTGTGAAAGTACCTCCGATGAAGGGTGTCATTGGTCAGCAGCAGCTCGTGCCTCCACCAGAGAGCCACGTGTGGGGGCTTTGGATCCCGATCTGTCCCATTGCCCTGGCCGACCTCTTGGGCTCTGTCTAGGCTCTGTCGATGTTGATGATGATGATAATAGTGACAACAGAGGTAGTGATAGCAGTTAAGTTTTCTTGCTAAACATTTTATTTTAGAATAGTTTAAAATATTTTAAAAGGTTACAAAGACAGTACAGAGTTCCCATATCCTATTTTGATTCTTGGTGCAGCACTGTTGCTCCTCAATAGTTTATTTATTATACTTGGGAATTTTGTTGGCTTGTTGTCTCTTTGCCCCACTGGGCTCCTGTCTCGTTCGCTGCTGTATTCCTAGCACCCCATTTGGGGCCTGAAACATCATAGGTGCTCAATATCTGTCAGACGAACGAATGAATGGATGAGTGAACAAATGAATGAGCAAGTCAATTGACCAATCATTCTTACTTCCAGAGCCTGGTGACTGATAATCGGAGATATGAGGCAGCTTGAGCCTTCAGCCTTCTCCTTCATTACCACCACCATAGCTCAACTTTGTCAGACAGAAATTGAGATTTAAAAACCTCATGGAGGTCCTTAATCCTCCTAATAAAATTAATTTGTTAGGTCACACATTTTAAATTGCATCTGACCCTTTGTTGCAGTATGGCTTAGTAGGCAGGGTGCCAATTCCAAGTCAGCAGCTTAGTTCAAAGCTGGCCATGCCCCTCCCCAGCTGGGTGGCCTTTGGCAAATCATATGTCTGCCTCAGCCTCAGCTTTCTCATCTGTGCAATGGGGATGCCCTGCACCTGCTCCAGGGACTACTGTGAGGATTAAAGGAGACAGCACTTGCCCTGTGCCCAGGGGTGCTTGGTGCATGTCAGCGTTTGGGAGCTGTTATTTTCAGCTGTGCTATCCTCACCTCTGACTGTGCTGAAGTCTGGCTTCTGAGGGGCCAGAGGAACAAGAATATCGCAAGGACCCAGTGCTAGTTCACCCACCTGACCCTGGTGCCTTCTCTCTGTGATAGAGAACTCACTCAGAGAGCAGTGAGTGACTGTGATTTTCTCTTGTCCCACCCTCATGCCAGGACTGATGATGCTCTTTATCATTTTTTCTATAAACACAAGTTGTTGCGTGCTTGCCATGTGCCAGGCCCTGGGGAGTGAGAGCAGGCACCAAGACAGACTCGGGCCTGAACTGCAGCCTGGCAGTTCAGACAATATCAGACAATACAGACAATAACAGTCCACAGTAGTTAACCCGGGCGGTGAGCATGGAGGGCTCAGGCCAGGGTGTGATCGGGTCGGCAGGCTCTCCCCAGAAGCCTGTTGAGCTGAGACTTGGCGAGTAGAAGAGGAGAGTGACAGGGTGGGCGCGGGCTTTCTGGGATAATGAGCGGGTGAGAGTGTGGTGCTGGCAGCAGGCCAATGTGGGAGCCGGGAAAGGGAGAGAAGACGCAGAGTGGGTTTGGAGGAGGAAGTGAGACCAGACCTGCGGGCTTGTCAGTGGAGGATGGGAACATCGATTTCGTGGTCGGACCACTGGGAGCCGCAGAAGGATGCTGAGCAGGAGAGTAGGGGGATTGATTTTCCCACGTGACACGTGGCCCTGGGTACTGAGTGGAGAAGGCATATCTGTGGGAAAAGAGGAGGCAGGGAGACCAGTGGTGGGCTGTGCCTGCTCTCTGGGTAGGAGAGGGTGGTGGCTCCGCTGTGCTGTGCCCTGCTGTGCCAAGAGGAACAATGCACAGGCCTTGCCCCCAACGTGCCCCCAGTCTGGTTCCAACTACACCCAGACAAACACACGAGCAGTTTCCCCAATGGCTCCTGCCCTCCAGCTGGACGCTGCCAGTGAGGAAAGACGGAGTTCCTTTGTCCCTAGAGGTTCCAGGTGTCTGAACCAGCTAGGTTTGCTTGTTGCCACAGTGGGGATGTTTTCCAGAACCTTCTTCTGAGGCGCAGACGTTGTGCCTGATCTTGTAACCAATGCATGTCTTTCTCTTTTTTGTTTTTGCTGCAGCCAACTGGGTACATGGAAAACTCCGTCTCCTACAGCGCTATTGAAGACGTTCAGCTGCTGTCCTGGGAGAATGCCCCGAAGTACTGTTTACAGCTCACAATTCCTGGGGGAACTGTCTTACTGCAGGTAGGAGAAATAAACATGAACAAGCACTTTCCTCTCCCAGCCCCACTCACTCGCCCTTCTCTTTTCCCTTGGAAGGAGATGGCCAACTATCAGAAGAGAAGGTTGTTTAAGGCATTTTTTTTTCCCTCCAAATAAAGAAAATTATAAACCAGGGCTTACTGGGGGATGAAAGAGGGAATGCACGCAGTTTGAGCTCCAGCTACCTGCTTGCCCCAGTCTAGAAGCTTTATGCATTGTACTTTCATTTCTCTTAATAAACCTGAAAAATAGGTTTGCTGATCTCCATTTTACAGATGAGGAAACTGAGGCACACAGGCAGTTGTTAGGCCTTAAAAGGCTATCAGAAGCAAGTGAGCAGCAGATGTCACCTTTTGTTCTACTTTGACTGAGGTGGTTTCTTGTTTCTTGTTGATCTAAGTATTTTGAGACTCATAGAAGTATAAGCTGTGCCCTTGGAAAAGTGAGCATTCTGTGTGTGTTGGTCAGGACTGTTGGTTGGAAATGATGCAAACAGTATTCAAATTATCTGAGGAAAAAGAGAAGTTGATGATGCTATAACTGTTTTAAAGTAACTGGGATGTCTAAGAGAGGGCTTCAGGCATAGCTGCATCCAGGAGTTAAATAGTATCATTAATACTCCATGTCTCTGTCCCTCTCCTGGCACTGCCTCATTCTGTTGGCTTCATTGTCAGGCAGTGTCTCTCCATGGAGGGAAAGGTGGAATTTTGGCAGTCTCAAGTTACATTCTCGGAGCTTGTCATCCTTAAAAATGTGCAAGCCCATTTCCCTCCAGCATCTTTCTGGTATAGCCCCATGCTCCCCAGGGAATGCCATGCCTGGATTACACACCCACCCTTGACCACAGGCAGCTGTGTACTCTGAAAGCCCTACTGAAACTCGTGGACTGGGAGGTGAGTTACCAAAAAGGAACTTATGGCAAAAAAAAAGATAACATGGCTGCTGCTGTACATGCATGTGACATACATGTGATGTGTTCTATATAATTTCAAAGAGAGCTATACCCAGTTTTCAAGTCAGCCGCCCCTCATTTATAAAGAGGGCACTCTCTCTTCTTTGGGAGAACAGTCTGCCTCGGCCTTTCTTTTAGGGGCCTTTTCTTTCCAACTCTGTCCCTCCAATGAGACCAGCTCTGAGCCTAAAGAGATGCTCCCTAAAACCCGATTCATGAGTGACCACTAGGTTGTGAAGCAGTAGTGGAGCCAAAAGGCACCATGCAGTTAGGCCCCTGAGGAATGCTGAACTCAACAGATGAGTGAACAGTTGGACATCCTTAGAAAAATTCTGTCCTTTACTATTATCTCTTTGCGGACACCAAAGCCATGCTTGCCTTTCTGCAGAGTCTAGGAAAGGGGGTCAGTTCCAGCCCCCTTGGCTGGGAGGAGCAGCGGTGGCAGAGGAGGGAGGCCACAGCAGGTTCCGTGGAGAGCTGGGAGGAGATGGGTGCTGGGAATCCCGTTTGAATCAGAGCGCTGAGCTGGCCGGCCCCCGTGCGAGGGGAGGGAGAGGAAGGCCAGTAAGCCTCTTGGCCCCATCCTTGAAGAACTCTGAGGCCCTCTGGGGAGATCGATCCATAAACAAATGGCTGTAGATATAACTGCTAAAATAGAGGCACTTCCCGGAGGGCTAGGATCCCAGAGTAGGGAGTGACTCAGCCTTGGGTTCCAGAGAAAACTTCCTGGATGGTGACATTAGAGCTGGCCACTGAGGGATGAGTAGGACTGTGCCAGGGTGGGGGGCACATGTGCTGGGCAGAGGGAATTCAGCAAAGAATGAATTTAGGGCAAGGGGGTACTAGCTGCCTTGTAAGAGAGGGGAAGAGTAGGGTTCAGAGCCCTATGTATGTGTCTACAGCTGTTTGGTCACAGCCAGATCATATAAGTCTTACTAACTGAATGAAGAAGCTGTGGCTATAATCTGGGGACAATAGGGAGCCATTGAAAGCCCCTAAGGAGTAAGGGGCCAATAGAGGGATCAGTCCTGTTGCATGGCAGAGGGGGCTGATATGTGAGTGTAAGAGGGAGGCTGGAGAGGGGAAAACCTATAAATAGTCTAGCTAGAGAAAGGAGGCCCTGACCCAGTGCCCTGGTGTAGTGGTCTCTGTGTCAGTAGGAGCAACAGGGGCATCATTGCTTCTGGAGCTGGAAGGGGCAACATACCCCCCTCTCCCAAGGAAGTACCCTGAGTGTCACTTGCCCTGGGCATAGAAGGGCAGTGAGGTCTGGAGGGGTGTGGGTCACTGTGCAATGCCTGGAATATCCCTTTAACTGAGGTCGTGGCTGCAGGCCGGCTGTAATGACTTGCCTGGCTGAGGCTGCACCCGGCAGTGGCCTCATGCAGAGCTCTCCCACTGTGCTGACAGACGGGCGGGCCTGTGGCTGCTCACTGCCCCTGCTCACTGCCCCCTGCTGTGGTGGACAGTACAGTCCGTGCAGCCCAGTGGCCAGAGGCTAGAGCAGGAGAGCAGAGGGAGGAGGAGGAGGCGGCCAGCAGCTCCTGGGATCCAGAGCTGGACTCGGCTAGGACGGGGAAGCAGACACAGCCTCCACCCCGCCACCCAGGGGAGCCCAGGTGGGTGCACCTCGCCGTTGCCTGCCTTGGTCTCTCTCGCTGTCATTTCCATGCTACCTTGCTTCCTTTTTATTGCCACCCTCCTGCCTTCTCTCCCGAGATTCATGGGTGGTGTGTGGCCGTCATGTTATATAAACGGGTTCTGAGTCATCTTGAAGATAGGCTTCAGGTGGAGGAGTCCAAATGGTTATGGGGAGGCTGGGAGCCTGGGAGGCCCTGGAGCCCCAGGGTGGTGGGCCCAAGGTACAGGCCAAGCCCTCCTCACCTGCGTTGTGGCTATCAGTGGGTCCATTTAAATGACAGGGCCCAGAGCCATGGTGTGACAGAGCAGTCTTCCCTGCTTCAGGTGGAAGGGATGCCAGAAGCAGCCAGGGGTGCTCAGGGCAAGGCTGGCCTGGAGAGCCTCATGGGGGTGCTCGGGTCATCAGAGGATGACAATGCCTTGAGCAGCGCTGTCCCTTCAGATGCCACTCACCACACAGGAGCCTCTGCATTTAAACTTAATTAAATCAAGTTAAGAATGCAGCTCCTTGATCCACTAGATACATTGTGAATGCTCAATAACCACATGGAGTCAGTGGCCACTGTATTGGACAGGGCAGATCAGGAACGTTGCCATCGCCACCCACAGTTTTGGTGGCAGGCTGGCTCGAAGACTTTTCCTTTGGGCTCATGCTCCATGCTCCGGGTCGCTCCTGGGGAGACTAGCCTCAGCATGCAGGCGGGTCTGCAAGGTCACAGCACCCCTGTAACCCCGAGGGTCCCTCCTGCTACATGTGGTACAACAGCTCTGCATAGCGGCGATGTCAGGGGCTCACAGGGTCCCTACCCTCGCCTACCTGGCTTTTATCCCCCTTTCCTTCCCCCCTCCCCCCCCACCTCTGCTCCCCTTTATCAGGCTCTTCATATCCATGCGTGCCCGTTTTTCCTGTCTGTCTCTCTGATGCTTTTCTCCATGTCTCCCTCGGACCTCGGGGAGCTGACCTATCTGAGTTCAGGGAAGGTTAAGAGACGCTCTTGGGCAAATGCGCCTCCTCCCCAGCTTGGAGATGCCACGCCGTCTGCCAGCAGGCTGAGTCCCACACAAAGGCGCCAGCCTCCCAGCCTGGGTCCAGTCGGTGTGCTCCTGGATGCTCTGATTTTCAGCGTGAGCTCCCTAATGTCATGTCATTAGGATCCCCGGTGCAGAAGGCACCTGTTTATCTTCTCTCCTGGTGCCCTTTCTGCTGCTTTCCGCTGTGAGGAGGAGCTGCTTAAGCACATAACCGGTGCTGTGACAGTGCCCGTGGGGTGCGCCCCCCCTCGGGGCGGGGTGGTGGTGGCTGGCATTAGAGCTGTGCGGGGCAGACCATCTTTGGGGATTTCTGCCTCGCAGTTGGGTTTCCGTGAGAAGTGGCCAGGGCCCAGTGCTCTGAAAGCAAGGTTGCGGGCCGCCAAGACCAAAGAGAACCTTCTTCCCCGAGAGCGTCTGCTTCCTTCCCGAAGGGCTTCCGACACCCACTCCTCGCCCAGACTTTCCGGAAAGTCCCTAGGAGGCCGGGCAACTGTTTACCCCAAACACTGGCAGCAGGGGCAGGGGCAGGGGCAGGGGCAGGGCGGTTCCCTCCTTACTGGAAGCTGGAGAGAAAGACCTTTCCGGCCTGGCGATCACGTGCTGTTTTTTCCCTAAGAAGTTGGGCCGGGGAAGGAGGACTTGGCAACAGCTACCCCGTGCACCCTTGGCTGTTTTTCTCACCTCTTGAGACAATACAACAATGAGAGGGAACTTGGCAACTTTCGAAGAGGAAATTAAGCAGAATTTGCCTGGAACGGGGCCCTTTCAGTATTCGAAAGATTTATCACTAGGAGCAGTTGGCACTGGTCTGCGCAGGCCTGCCTCTCCTAGAACCTCTTTCCCATGCTTAAGTCGGTCTCCCCTGAGTGACCCTCAGGACTCTGAGTGGAGACTTGGGTCCCGGAGGTCTGGGTCGTCCCAGCCCACCCGCCCACACTGCAGTGTTGGGACTCTGTGCAGAAACACACCTCTCCTCCAGGCCAGGCACAGCCCCGTCCTCTCTCCCTGTCTTGGCAGACCCTCCGAGATACCGGCACAGCCCTTCTGGATGTCCCCCAGCAGCTTCTGTCTCTTTAAAACCAGACAGCCCGAAGGAAGAAGCAGTTCACAGCCCACCCTTGTTGCAACCTCTGACTCCTTCGGAGAAAGAGGAAGTAGCGTGAGGATGCAGTGGCTGCACCCCTTGCTACGTCTGGAGGAAAGTTATGTGCCCACCCTCTTGTTTGCCAGGCGGGGCCTCCTGTTGATTGGAACAGGTGCCAAATCCTTCTTCCTCCCTCGTCATCAGCGTAATGGATTCAGATTTCCTAGCCCAGTTCCTGGAGCCCAATGGAGCTGAGGTGCGGCACTCTCTCTCATGTTGGGGTGAACAGTAGAGAGAGTGGGCTATCGGGTCAGACAGACCTGAGTCCCAGCCCAGCTCTATGTGCTCTACCTGTGTAACCTTGGGCAGCAGGAATCACCTCTCTGGGCATCTAAATTGTCTGAACTGGACCCTGGATGTCATGAGGATTATCAATACTACATGGGAAATACTTAGCACTGTACCTGATGCACAGTAGGTGTGCAGAGAAAGGGCTGCCATGATTATTTCTAGAGCCTTAGTCAAATTTGGCTTGGGATATCAAGAATGAATAGTTTGTTTGAAATTATATTACATGTGACATTTTTTAAATAAGCAGAATAGGTATAACGATGATTTATCCATTCATTCATCCATCCACCCACCCATCCATTTATTTATCCATCCAGTCATCCACCCACCCATGTATCTATCTAACCATTCTTTCATTTAACAAAGATTTCTCTGGGTTTTGTGAATAAATCAGACATGGTCCTTGACCTCACAGAACCCACAGTCTGGAGAGGAAGAAGAACGAAACAAGCAACCTCAAGATAGTGTGATATGTTAGATGAGGTGCTTTCACCCGATGGGTCAAGGATGGGGAGGGTCAAGTCACCATGAAGACAGGTATTCTGGAGAATGGCATTTCAGGTGGGACCTGAAGTGTAAATAATTCAGTAGGCAGTGAGGGAGGGGTGAAGGCGGAGTGTTGGTGGGATGTACACTCTGTGTGAAAGCCATACAACAAAACAAAACAAGCCAGGTTATGCTACAGGGACAAGCAGCCCCAAATTCTAAGTGGCTTAAGACGGCAAAGAATTATTTCTCACTCATGCTGCCTGTCCACGGTGGGTCAGCTGAGAGCTTGACTGGTAGAGCACACACCATCTGGCTATCAGGTGACCAAGCGAGACCTGCTGAATGAATGACTGATGAGTGGACTGTGAGCTCCCAAATTCCTAGCACTGATTAGCAGTACCAGGTACCATCAGGGTTGGTTGCACACTAACAGTGTAACAAACGAGCACAGTGCAGGCAGTTGCAGGTGCTAGATGGTGGGGCCAGTGGCACAGAAGAGGGAGGGACGAGGGTCCCTTTCCTTCTCCTTCTTCTCCATCTTCCTCTCCAATTCTCTCTTTTTGTCTTCACTTGGTCATTTAGTCCAGCCAGTGACACCTTCTGGGCATTGCCCTGGCCTTCTGTGGACCCTCAGAAGCAATGGAATGACCCACATCAACACTAAACTAATTTGATCATACCTCCCAGGTTCATTTCCTGCTGCTGCTGTGACAGATGACCTCAAATTTAGTAGATAAAAGCAACACAAATTTATTGTTCGCAGTTCTGGAGGCCAGAAGTTTAACATGTGTCCCAGTGGGCTAACATCAAGGTGTTGTCAGGGCTGGTTCTTCTGGAAGCTCTAGAGGAGAATCCGTTCCTTTGCCGTTTCCAGCTTCTAGCAGCCACCCACATCCCTTGGTTCGTGGCCACATCACTCCAGCCTCTCCTTCCATCTGTGACTATCTGACCTTTTGCCTCCCTCTCATAAGGACCCTCATGGCTCACTCAGATAATCCAGAATGTCCTCCCCATCTCAAGATTAACTAAATCACATTCGCAAAGCTCCTTGGCCCCCTAAGATGTCATATTCATAGGGGATTAGGATGCAGACAGTCTTTGGAGGATTCTTTATTTGGCCTTCCTCACCTTCTCTGCTCCCTTCTCTGGCCACTGTTAAAAAGCAGAGAAATGACTGGACCGGGAGCATGCTAGAGCCACTCGTACCATCTGATACCGGCTCCTGAGAGCCCATCGTGTGCCTCTTTCCAGTTCTGGTCTGGGACAGAATCAGCCACGGTGGCATCACTCACAGCATGGAAGTCGGCAGAAGCTGTGATCACTGTAGTGTGTTGTGTTTTTTATCCCGGGGAGCCTGTTGTTACACATTTATCAGCACATCACTGGCCACAGCTGTCACTGATACTGATCGCTGCTCTCTGTAGTGTGTTTGCACAGGCTGGGCACTGCACTAAGTAAGTGTTTTACAAAGATTTTCTCATGCGCGGGATCTTGGCGCCTCTGTCCCCGAGCATGGGATGTATTCTATCATCCTAATGAACAAGAGTTGTCATGAGAGCACAGAGCTAGGTCAGCACTGACAGGAGGTGACCCAGCACGGATCTTTCGGGATACTGCTGTTCCTTGCAGCAGACTCTGCTTTCACCATCAGCCTTTGTCACAGCCTCTATGTCATCAGGGGACTTGCTCCAGTCACACCAATAGACCATTGTAGATCCCAGACTTGACCCAGTCTCTGTTGGAGACTCAGTTACTGCAGAAGTCCCTGCATCACACAAGTGAGCCCCAGTCTGCTTCCCATGCAGGGCAGATTCAGCTCACCTTACCTCCAGGTGCGGTATGAATGAGTCTCTGAGCCTGATTCCCCATTGCTTGAATAAATAAACTGGTTCATTTACTCAAGCCCAGAGATTTCCCCAAATTCTGCCCTGACAGAGAGCTGATGTTTCCATGGTGATTAGGGTGAGGAGGTGGGGAGACCTGGAACTCCTTGACAGAGACCCAAAGTTGTACATGCTGTACGGGCAAAAGGTGGACTTTTAGAGGGAGGCCCTGACCTTTGCGAGAGTCCCTTAACCATCAGGGTCAGGGTCACTTGGTGCAGAGCTGTGGGGTCTTGTGGGATTGGATGCTGCCTTTCTGCCTTTGGGGGTGTCAGTGGAGAACTTGGGCTGCCATAGTACCGTGATCCACAGCATGAATCCAACCACCGGCCTACTAGTCCTGGCCCCACACTGGCTGCCTGTGAGCCTCAGTCTCCTCATCTGTACCATAGGAATGAGCTACTGACAGTACCAGTTTCTCAGGATAGACTTGCAAGGACTGAATAAGCTAGTCCACACATAAGGCTTAGTCTGGGTCTGGAGTGCGTTAACTATGCCACAAATGCTGCTTTCACCATCAGCAAACCTGCTAGAACTGGGTTGGAGAGCAGCAACAATACATCCTAGAGTTCACAGGGCCATCTTCAGGCAGCATTTAATTTGAGAAGAGTCTGTGATGGTGATGATAATAACAACAGTGGCTGCATTTCTGTTTGACCACCTGCTGTGTGCCCAGCATGCTTCTAGATGCTTTATAAGAATTGGTCCCAGTCTTCCTGACATTTCTGTGGGTCTGTGGGTCTTTACAGATGAGAAAATTGAGGCTGAGCTGCCTAGGGTCTCTGGACTAGAGTGGTGTGGATAAAAGAAGGTTTTGCTTTCCACACAGAGATTTCTAACTCAGGTCTGCCCGAGTTCAAAGCTGGCTGGCTGCTTTCTCCTGTGACTTTCTACAGTTGGCAGGAGGTACAGTGGTTCAGCCCACAGGCTTGGAAGACAGGCTGCTTGGGTTTGAATGTATAATATTTAGCTGATGTAAGATCTTAGGGTCTCAGTTTTCCCTCTGTGAAATGGGCATGTGTCACTCACCTTGCAGAACTGTTGAGCAGGCTGAGGATGAAATATGTGGATAATAATCTCCAGGTGCCTGAGCAGTGCTTGATACAAAGGAGGTACCCAGACAGCTCCCACCATCATCATCCCACCACCATGGTGCTTTCCCCTTCATCTGGGCCCCTCCCGTGATCCTAAATAAGTCAGGATACACGTGCAGTTAAAGCTCTCCCGGCCACCAGTGTCTGAGGTCACTCCTACCCAGTAAAATAGCATACAATGGCAGTGAGGTCTTATTTCAGAAAAGTCACCCGCTTATCACTTCTATTGTGGTTTTGTACCCAAAGGGTTCAGCTTGGTTGTTAGGACCACAGGGCAGACCATGTTGGACAGACAGGCTGGGCTTGTGTGCTGGCCTGAAAAACGCTCTGAAATGCTACAAGTGTGTGACCGGACCTTGCTGTCCTGTTCTTATCGTTGCAGGCTGCCAACAGCTACCTGCGGGACCAGTGGTTCCATTCTCTGCAGTGGAAGGTAAGTCCTGGCACAGCTGCTCATTTGGGGCGGCCGCCTCTATTCTGGGCATGGCTCAATGTTGGTCTGTACCCAGAGGCATGAAGGCGGAGATCTCTGCTCTCCTCCGCCCCTCTGCCTTCTGATGCCTTTCCCCCTGCAGCACAGGAGTACCAGCCCTGCCCCATGGGCCCTGGGCTTTGCTCATTGCCTTACAAAGGGATGTTCTCAGAACAGGGCCGGGGAAGGCAGGACTTCCGGCCTCAAGATTCTGTCTTGAAAGGAACTTCCAAAAGTGGCACCAAAGTGAAATTTATCAGAGGTTCAAAAGCCCAATTGCGTTTCCATAAGGAATTCTTCACTTCCGTTGCCTGGTTCTTTGGCCTGATTTCCCAGTTCAGTCTCTGCATAGAGTAGCCCAGAACCTTCCAGCACATAAGTGAAATTCCTCCTCTCCTGGTCATTTTCAAGACCCAGGGACCTGAACGGCCAAAGAAGGTCCTCCCAAAGCTCTGGGGAGTCCATGCCCTGCCGCCCTGCCGTTCTGCATTGGCTCAGGCAGCTTCCCCTCGTGCCCTGCCTCCCTGGCCCTCCCGTCTTCTGATCTTTCAGTTTAGAACAAGCTGTGATGGCCACAAGGGCGGAGGCAGCAGGGAATGGCTGGAATGGCCGGTGCATGCCCTGAGCTTCAGTTGTACTGTAAGCTGGAGAGCCACAGGGTGAGTGGCTGGCCTGGTGCAGGGTTGAAGGCCATATGCCATCTTGGAATGACCAAGGGAACGAACACTCAGAATTCCTCTCGTGCTTCTGAGGGGCTGTCGTCACAGCGAGGCTGAGGACGGAAATACAACCCCGGAAAATTACATTCCTGGTCCCAAAGAGGGCCCCTCCTCTCGGTTCCCCGGACAGCTGCAGGTCCTCTCGCTTGGTTGCCTATAGGGCAGCCTCAGAGGCTGAGCATATCTCCACGTTGGGGCTGCTTAGGGAAAGGACTGGCATTTTATTGAGCACCAACTGTGTGCTAGGAACTCGCAGCTAAGCCCATCCTGTCCATTTCACCCTTGCCTCAGCCTTATATGGCTAGTTACTATCACTGCTTCCATTTCATGTATGGGAAAGGTGAGGCTAGGCCGGAGCCCAGCTCCCATAGTTAGGGGCCGTGAGGCAGGGCTCAAGCCCACATTTTCCCGTACCTGTAGGCGCCTGAATGTAGGTGGAAAGCACCTGAGTGGTAGCTGAAAAGGAAAGGTGGTACATGCCTGCTCACAGAGTCAACAGGTACTGCTGAGAGCTCGACTTCCCAGGGAGAGTGTCCCTAAGACCTGGCCCTTCGCACAGTCCCAGGACAGGCAGGGCATGCTGGGGCGGCGGGTGTGTGTGTGTGTGTGTGGGGGGGAGCTTAGGAGTTAATTGCCAGAACAGGTGAGAGGGAGGGAAGATGGGGGTTGGGATTGGGGGGTTCCCTGAAGGAGGAAGCCATTTAACGGCCAGTCTCCCCTTCTTTAATTCTCTGCGTGTTTTCCATGTAAGTCCTCACTGAGTGGTTGCCTTGCTTTCTGTTAGCTCAGGACAGGGCACAGCGTACTTAGAGACAGCCAGCCTACCTGACAGGCTGGGAAAACACCTCATTGAAAAGGTGGCCAAGATCAATGTTGAGGGAGCGGCTGTCTTTAGTGTATTTCACAGAGCTCTGCTTTCTGCCCTGCCCTGCTCAGAATATTTTTCAGCAGTGACTTATGTCAACATCTAAAGGGCAGAGCTTGTGAAATTTGCGAATGTTATGCAGCTACAAGAGATGAATGAGGTGGTGGGCATAGAAAGCCAGATTTCAGGAGACTGACTGGCTAGAAAGATGATCTGAAAGTGGCAGCTTGAAATGGACACATTCAGCCGTCAAGGATGACATGTGAGGTTCAGATAATTGATTAAATGAGTACAGGCTTCTAGCAGTGCCCATGAAGTTCTGCTCTCAATTAATGGTGCTTGGTTTGTTTATGGTTGTTAAATTTTATCAGTTAAATTATTTTTTTTTTTTTAAATAAAAAGAAGTAAGTATCCAGGAAACCCAAGTCAAAGTGTCAGGGAACCAGCAAGCATCTGGCAATGTGGCCCTTCCTGGCAGGTGGTGGTAGATAATGACTTCAGTTCTCACTGTGTAAGTGTCTGAGTGTGTCTTGAGCATGCGTAAGATACTGGTTGTTCCCTCTGACAGTTGCCCCTGCTCCCCCCATCTCCCCTCCCTTCACTACTTTAGGTATGCTGCCACCAGGTGGCAGTGTCTCTCAGTGTCAACAACTTGATTTTATCCCTGTGGCTCTTTGCCACCAGTTTTGGTGAGATTGGAAGAGGCAAGTTCTCCTTCCTTTTAAAATGGCAAAGAAACAGGTGTTTTGGAGGCACTGCTGGCTAGCCAAATGAACTTGGAGACCTGGGTTCAAATCCAGGTTCTGTAGCATACTTGCCTTGTGGTCTGCATAGATTCTAGCAAGTATTCATTAATTCAGATGCAGTTACTGAGTTCCTACAATGTGCCAAGCATGGCTGGGTGCTTTTCTGGGTGCTGCTGTCATTCAGCAAATGAAGGATCCAAGGCTCAGAGAGGTGTAGTGATCTGCCCATAGTCACACAGCAGATTTCAGTGCAGATCTGTCGGTCTGTCCAGCCTTCTGCTTACCCAGCGGGGCTGAGTCTGAGCTTTGGACTCTGCAGCCACTTAGGATGTGACCTACTTCTCTGCATGCAGCCACTCTCTCCTTCGTTTTCACAATCAACCATTTTTGGGTTGGTTTTTTTTTGTTCTTCCTTTTCTATATCTTTAAAAAGTAAAATCAATAGAACATCAAAATTAAGGACTTTAGAAATCCTGCAACTTCAGCTTGAGTTTTTAAATTTCCCAAAATTTTGTTTTGTTTTTTTTCTCCCTACACCAATATGCATTTGCATGTTGTAGCTGCAGTTCACATAGAGCATATATTCTTCCATGTGTAAAGAATGTTACTTCTTAACTACTGTGTTCCCATTGGTAAGTTTTTTTTATCAAGAAGTACTGGTATCTCTAGGGCATTGTCAACAAGGGGTGGCATTGCCCCCAAGGAAGCCAGAACTGGTTGTTTGGGGCTTTAAAACCTTAAGTTACTACAGTAGCATGGGGCCCTCCAAAGTTCAGCTCTGTTCAACAAAATCTTATTTTTTCGTATTTAATTTCAAAGGCAGGAGGGCATATAGAGTGTGGGAATGTCCAAAAGGGCTCATTAAGGGGACAATAACACAAAAAGGTTGAGAAACACTTCTGTGGCATCTACCTCACACTGTGTTGGGAATAAAGAAAATCTTACCTAATAATAGACAAACATATAAATTGACCGTACCTTCACTACACCCATAGCTATCGATAATCAGAGTGACTATGCAAATTAACCCCGAAAAGGTGGCATCCAGAAACATCCTGGCACCCAGGTCACTGTGAGGTAAGGCCTGGGCAGGAGTGGACCACCTGCGATCAATCGCAGGGAGATGGGGGTCCATTCCTGATCTCAGGGAGCGGGGGGTCCGCTCTGATAGCAGGGAGCTGGGGGTCTGCTCCTGCCGAAGAGGCTTTTGGCCTGGGCAGGCCTGGGCTGGGGCAGAGCCTGTGATCAGTGAGAGCTGGAGGGCCCCTGCCCAGACCTAAAGCTTTGGCCAGAGGCTTTAGGCCTGGGCAGGGCCCAGCCCAAGATTGGTGTGAACTATAGAGGAAACACCTTTTCTGACTGCACATTGGCTAAGCTTCCTGGTATGCCACTGGTAATATTCTTAATAACTTGGGTAATAGAAATCCAAAAAGATGATCTAGGGTTTTTCCACCACACTTTTGGAGAAAAAAACGAAGGTCTGCTGCTGGAGGGCTAAGAAATGTCATATCCTGCCCTAGCCGGTTTGACTCAGTGGATAATGCCTCAGCCTGCCAACAGCAGGATCTGGGTTCTGTTCTGATCTGGGTTCCGTTCTGATCAAAGGCATGTACCTAAGTTGCAGTGTCCTCCCTGGCCAGGGCCCAGATTAGGGCTCATGCAGGAGGCAACCAATCAAAGTGTTCCTCTCACTTTGATGTTTCTTTCTGTTTTTCCCTTTCTCTTCCACATTCTTCTCAGGTGAGGATTAAAAATAATAATAAAGAAATTCATATCCTATGAAAGATGCATTTTGTAAATGCCTAAAGAAAGTTGTCATTTTTTCCTGGTGAAGGGTCTAGAGTCCGTATTGATGAAAATACCTTGGGGACTGGCAGTGGCTGCAGCAGCAGGGTGATGGGGCTGGTGCCTTCCCCTGATCAGCCTGGTTGCCTCCCACAAAGGGAAGCCGGGGGGAGTGGGCCTAAGCCATTAGTAGGACATCCCCTGAGGGCTCCCAGTATGCGAGAGGGGGCAGGTTGGGCTGAGGGACCCCCACCCCCAGTGCATGAATTTTGTGCACCAGGCCCCTAGTAGCCATATAATATTCTTGCCCTGTACTGGTAAACCCTTCTGTCTTAATGGCTGCAGCTCTGAATTCCAGTATGTTCACCTGCCATCACCTATCTTCACCTACAGTCACAGGCCATTCGGGGCGTTTTCTCAGCTTGGGGCACTATGCTTTGAGCATCATCTTGTCTCAGTGTGAGGACATTTGTGTCACTTGCCCAAGGCCAGCCTGAAGAGGAAGTGGTATATGACCCACAATGTCCCAGTTCCCAGAACCCCCTTATCTATGCACCCCTCTCCCTTCTGAGCAGTTCTTTTCTTCCTCTTAGCTTTCCACCCTCCCACCTCAGAGCTCTGCAGGGTAACCACCATCTCTGGTGCAAGGAAGGAGGGTGGGATGAGGTTACTCTGGGCAGCGTGATGGCAGCTCCAGCCCTCCCAGCATGCAGTGGAGCAGGGCACTGTGTCCTGAAGTTCCTTGGGGAGGCCAGCCCTGTTTAGTTTGGGTGGTTTAGCCCCTGAGGCCAATTCCTGAGGGTATGGAAGCATAAACAGTTGTACAGCGTTAATGAGGCCTTATTT